CGACCATATTTTACTTTTCTCACTCCTTACCTCAACTATCACTGCGCTCCAGTGTCTTTCTGAACGTTTACGTGCGATATTTCTTTTTCAGTTTACACTGATGTTAATTATCAAAGTATTCATCTCGGCAGACGTTCGATAGATGACCCAGACATATTTTGATTGCATCATATTCACCGCTACCATCCTGCGGGACGTGTCAAGCACTTGCTTTTATCCCGTGAAAAATCATTGTTCATTGTTCACGCGTAATTCATATTTTGGGGATTGAACTAGGACACTACCAGGGCGTGCACAGCTGATAGGAGAACAGATCGGGTCCTCAACCAAAGCGTTAGAGAAATTATACACCCGAAAGCCAGCGGGCCGAGCGCCATGCGTCAGTGAACTGACTCACGTGGAATTGTGTGTCCTGCGTCTTAGCTAGAAGAAGGGTTTATCCCAACTACCACCCAGCGGTCACTATGCGGTGGTGTCCATGAGATGAGCCTGCAACACAACATTGGGAGCGGCGGGTCGACGATCTGTTAGAATCTCGCCACCATAAACCTCAGCGCACCATGGGCTCTGGCGCCTATACAGATATATATATATATATATATATATATATATATATATATATATAGTCCGAGGGATGCTAAACTTGAGGTTGCTTTTTGCATTCTCCTTCTCCAAGTCATTGCTCACCCACCGCGGTACTTTTTCCAGTCGCTTTCGGGGACTGGAAATAACGCTCGACAGCAAAGACGATAGGGTGGTATACGTAATACGTGGCCGGGCCAACGCATTTACTGTCAGAGATTAACGTTTTGGTGGCATGGGATGTTTTTATCTCCAAACACTGTCTCAATTTTCTGTATTGCTTACGTGATTTTGCCATCACACGTGAGCAATCCTCCGCAGACAACGAGTGTCCGGATCTGACAACCGCTTCATGTCTTCCGAGCGAATATGTCAGGTCTCACAGCCATATAAGAGGACCGCATGGACGGAAGCAATGCACACTGCCTTACAGCTCCAGACTGACACCTCGACGAACCCGTGGGTATCAGTTTGGTGAATGCAAGACGGGTTTCTGCGACCCGTTGTGAGACCACATCTCCAACACCACCTCCAATCGTGATGCAACACCCTAGGTAAGGGAAACTGGGAACTTGCTCCAGGACGTTACCAGCAATGGATAGGGCAGGCACAACCATTTGCAGTCCCGAAGTAGTAATTTACATTTGCCTGGCGTGAAACAGTCCATACTTAGATGCCTCCATTGCTAAGCGGTTCAAAGCACTCTGGACAGCTTGTGTAAATATTATCCGAGCACTATTCGCGCGTAGCTCGGGCAGAGTAAGGGCTTACGGCAAGCTGTCGCCGCCCTTCAATGTCTTTAACAGTATAAGACAAGGATGCCTGCTGTCACCTTTCCTCTTCAAATTCGCTATTGTTGAGGTCATAGAAATCGCGTCCACAAGATGGGACTTAGAAGGTGTAGAGCTGCTCTCAGGTGAATGACTTCTTGACTTGGAGTATGCTGACGACTTTTCCCTCATGTGTGATTGCTCACAATTGGGCCAAGCGGCACTGGACAGGTTAGCACTATTTGTCAGCCGTTTCGGACTGTGCTTTGCATCCTCGATGTGTAAAGCTTTCCTCCAAGATTGGCAGGGAGCGCCTCCTGCGCTGACGCTTAGTTGGGATTAGGTAGAAGTCGTTCAACAGTTCCACTACTTGGACAGTTCTATCAGCGCCGTTGGAATTAAACAAGAGGACACAAACCGTATAGCAGAAGCATAAGGCGCTTTTGTAAACCTTCACCACCTATGGTGCCGGCGCGACATCCCTCTGTCCCTGAAGGGTAGAGTTTACAATACAGGGGTACGTTCGTCCCTGCTGTGCGGTTGTGAAATCTGGCTCATTAGAGGCTAGTTATGTTCGATCGCCGGTGCCTTCGCAGTTTGGCTCATATCTAGTGGGAACACCGTGTGATCATTGGGTGTGCTCGACGCCTTGTTTATGGCACAGTAAGAAGAAGTGAATCGCTCAGCACCGTTAGATCACGCACTAGGCTCCGATGGGTGGGCCACGTGTTGCGAATGCCAGCCCATCGACTCTCGCTCGGGAAAAATAATGTTACCGTTTTCTAGATATCGCGCCCACGCATCGGCTACGATAGATTCCATGACCTTTATAATACAGGGATAGGATACACTGGACGGTAGTTTGAGTGCTCAGTCCTGCTTCCGCCTTTGTGAATCGGAGTTATTATTCTAAGTTTTCACAGCGCAAGAATCTGGTCTTGGTCTAAGCAGCACTGTGCCAAACGTTTCGCCAGTTGGCTGGCTGTTGCTTCCATTTCCCCTAGGCGAAAGGTGTCGCCTGCCGGGGAGCTGTGGTTTCGTAGGAACGCCAGCTTCCGCAAAACAGCTTCGTTAGTAAAAGAGATTGCGTGAGTCCCTGAGGCGCGAAACCAAAATTTGCAGGATGACCTTTTGGTAAGACCCTCTGAAATGTGGGACCATATTACATCTGCAACTCGTTTGCTGCTTCTATGAGTGTTCTAGTTGGACCATCAGTCGTTCGAACCGCAGGAATTCCCTGTCTCACCTCACGACGTCCATTGACATACTTGTACAGCAGATTGTGGTTAGCGATAAAAGTTTTCGCCATATTATGTTGATTCGCGACTTTGTCCTCTCTGAGAAGTTGAGTGCAGTATCTACGATGGGCTACGTAGTTGTCCCAATGATCTGGCACGGGTGATGACCTATACACTTGCCAGGCTGCGCTGCGTATAGTCATCCATTTTCTAGTTCTGCTCCTCACGAAAGAAACGGTTTTTGGCCCATTGAAAACCCTTGTCTGAGGCACTCTTAACCAGTTGATTGAATTTGCTGAAGAATTCAGGCCAAGCGACTTCCGGATGGCCTTCAGCGAAGAACGACTAGTTTGTGACACTGACGAGCTGAGCTTAGCCGTCGTAGCGCACCAACTCAGGGTTCTGGTTGCGCTGTTCCCCACAGCAGATAAAATCGAAACTGATGAGTGCATGATCACTGCGACCCAAAGAGCATTCTACGTTCAATACATCAATCATATGTTTCTCGTTGGTGAAAACAGAATCCAACAAAGAAGGTCTGTTACCTGTGCGGAAACGAGTGGGTGCAATGTGATTGTAAATTGGAACACTGGTTACAAGCTCTTGCAGATCTGCTTTGAATGGCTCTCCGATTGTAGCAGAAGTTTCTAAACAGTGTACATTGAAATCACCCATGCTAAGAATGTGAGTGTGCTTCGCTTTAGGCTGCACCTTAAAGTTGTCGCAAGTTGGCAGTCCATTTCCGGCGTAGAGTTTTGGAGTAGGCGGTATACCAAAGCTATGATGCAGGTGTTTCTGCCATGTAATTGCAGGTGACACTAAAGAGAATCGGCGAACTGCAAGTCTGAATCCTCAACGGCCTCGTACTGTAGATCGCTTCGGTAATAGAGAATTACCCCTCCTCCTTTCGTAAGTCTGTCCTTTCGTATGAGTGCCGTGCCCGGCAGCAAGACTTCAGCGTCTGTCATCTCAGTGTGCAACCATGTCTCCGTGCCAACAATAATACTGCATGGCTTCGAAATTTAGCGATCCTTCAGTTCGGCCAGCTTATTGAAGAGGCCTTGAGCATTTGCATAAAGGCAGGATAGTTTCTCGGTCTCTAGGAACTCACAGGGCGCCAAAAGATTCAAGTGTGGTAGAATGCCGACCGATGCGATGTCGGCTGTTATTCGTTTTTTCGATGAGATGATGCTGACACGTCGTTCGCAGAATAATTCGGCCAAGATACGTCCCATTCATCGTCCGGACCTGCTGCAGAATCGCGTGATCCATCGGTAAAGTGATGCTCATGCGTAATCTCTGGTAGGATTGCTTTTTCAGGTGAGATCATGTCTGGTCTTCGCAAGGATTCAGCAGCTTTTAACCGAAGTTCAGATGGAAGGCTTTTACGATGTCTACGCCAACGTTCTAACACTTCTGTTGCTCTCTGCTTTGACTGAACCAGACGTTTTAAGATTCTTGGTCCTCTTTCTCTATAATTTGGTGAGAGAGGTAGTCTTTTGAGCGCTCGCGCCGCAACGTTGTCTAAGGAAAGTGTTTCAGGACTGAACGGCCACGGGGCTACAAAACGCAATCAAACGGTTTCTTGCCAAGCGCTCAACCATTGGATTTATGGATTTTTATGTTTAATACGCGAACATCTCCGCTATTTCACATAAGTCTATGGTGAGTCCACCACAACGCTTTTCACTTTATTATGCAATTTATTTTCGCAATAATTTCCATCCCACGGGACTTGTTAAGCGATGCTTTTTTACCCGTAATAAACCATTGTCCATTGTCCATTGTCCATTGTTCCAAATCGTGATTAGCGGCCCCAAGGCTATCGTGGGAAGCAAGTTCTGGCACGCCATAAATAAACATGGTGCTTAGATAACCTAGCTTTCTATGTCCAGCTGTGATTGTCGCGTGCTCCAAGGGACCTCAGGAGAAGTGCTAACCCTTCAAGGCCCGTGTTGTGGCGCACTTGCAGAGTACAATGTTTCCCACATCAGTGGTCGATTCCACTGTTACCCTTAATAATTCTGGGTTTGCCATAGTGTGCAGAGTTCGGGTGACGAGTAACTCTCAGTAGGTTTGTGGGTTTGGCTGTTGCGTTGATTAAAATGCACAGTGAGTTCCACTGGTCTGGGTCGTCAGACAATTTACCCCGCAATGTGATGGCGGTAGATTCGGGGACATTGGTGAACACGACAGTCAGGGAGCTATTATTGGAGCCATTTTTTGTTGAAATGCAAGGTCGGGTGATCGTTGGGCTTGGTTTTATGCTAAGTGATGACGGTCCACTGCTTGTCGCCCTATTGGCGTTAGTGGTGTTTGCAACAGTGGAGACACTAAAAGTAGAATTCCGAGGGACTTTTGCAGCCATATCTGCATAGTTGACTGTAGTATCAGGGGATTTGCATTCGACCAGAGACCCTTGGGTTGTCGATGCACTAGACTCGGTTTCGGCTGTCCCATCCTTGTTAATGATACAAGTTGTCAAGACGAGCTGAATTTGATCGATCACGTGTTTCGAGTGATGCCTGAGTTGCGGGGTCCTGAGTACCGCTTGTCCATCAGAGTTACAGTCTGCTTTCGCCTGGCCTCCTTCCAACATTGAAGAAGATAACGGCAAAGGGGAGTTTGTTAATCGTGGTTTGAGTGAAGCAAATTTTGCACAAATGATTCTCTTTGAAGCCACTGTGTTATCATGGTGCATACTCGCTTCCAGTGGTATAATCTTAGCGTACGTTCGTTGTTCGACTTCTTCTGTTAACCGCTTGCACTTTTGAACTAGGAGAAGTATACATTTGACTAATGGGATGGTCGAACACGCAGTACAAAACCAGATATCGTCTTGGAAGTTGTTTTGAGAGCTCATGCGTTGGGAAAGATTTGCACAGTTTGGTACCACCTGAAACAGTGTGAGTTGGGTAACCCAAATTTGACTAATCGGTTACATTCAGCGGACCCACATTTACCCTTCGAATGGAGCTCCTTTGGATTCGTATCTACTTGCTTTCTGCTACTTGGCATAGTGTTGCTGCTTTCCACAGTAAGTTAAGTGATGTTGCGTACTTCTCCGACTGGCCGGTTGCATCCGCTAGTCAGACGGGTGGATGGGGCCACTTCGTCTCTTGGTTACGCACTGCCTCGTGAAGTGAGAGAAAACGCGATAAAACCAACCTCCCCGTACTTGAAACGGACGCACGTTGATTTCAGTTCACACGCAGGTCTGAACGCCGCACTGTCAAGTGACTGCCGGTGTGAGTTTTGGTCCTCTTTATTAACCGGAGCGTTGTTCGCGACAGGGCGCGGTTGAGACGACTGCAGGGTAGATCGATCGCCGTCAACCGATAAAACTGGTCAGTCAATGCGGACGGCTAGCTGAGAAATCCCCCAAACCGGTAAGACGACAGGTGATAAGGATTTGGAACAATTCCCACGCTTGGCGATCCACTGGATAGAGCTGATAATTCCGTGTCGGATGAGTGGAACTTGGGCGACGTGTGATGAAATGCGTAGGGAAAACCACACCACAAAGTGGATAACCAAATGAATAAAAATATTTGCACAGTTTTCACAAAAACGGTTAGATATCCTTCCAATTTTTTCCCGTGAGGGAAAGGGTACACAATAAGGAATAGAGTGAGATATGGTAATCCAAAGTCCGTTAAGATTGCACGTAGATAACGTAGAAATTGTACACATTGTCTGAGCTTCGGTTTTGTATTCCCTTGACAGTGACCTTGCTATGATGAAGTGGATACAAATGAGTTGATGCTGATTGTTTGAACCGATAGAACTGTATGGCTGTTCCAAAGAAAGATCATAATTCGCTCACATTTTTGAGAACTGGAGCTTTATGTGGCACTATTGATTTTTCTTCTAACGGAGACAACCCATCGATTGACAGTTTATAACCGAGGTATTACACACTTTGAATCACACTTTGAATCATATGCCACCACTCCCAAGAACGAACGGAGCTGACGCTTGGATTTTGGTTTTGCGAAGCACTCGATTGTCTCGCGTTTCTCCGGAAGTGGATGGACTTGACCATTGCCCACGATGTGACCCAAGCATACAATTGACTTTTGGGCAATCTGCGACTTTTTACGACTGAGTTTCAGACCAGCTTCGTCCAGTCTCTGCAGTACTGCTCCAAGTCTGGCCACATGTTCCTGTTCCGTCTCAGAGAAGATGATGATGTCATCACCATAAACAACCACGCCTTGCGGGTTCGCCAGGACCATCAGCAACAAACGCCTGAATGTAGCTGGGGCGTTGCACAATCCAAACGGCATTCTCAAACACTCATACTGCTGGCCATTGACACTGAACGCCGTCTATTGGCGATCTGCTTCTGCCATCGGCATTTGCCAATATCCCGAGCGGAGATCAATCAGAGATATCTGCTTCGCACTGTGAAGGCGTGAGAAAATTTCTTCCATCTGAGGCATCGGGAATGCATCCTTCACAGTCACCCTGTTTAGTTCTCTGAAATCGATGCAAAATCGATAGGTTCCGTCGGCCTTCTTCGTCAATAGCACGGGTGATGAATACGGGCTGTGCGTTTGCCTGATGCTTCCTTTCGATTCCATCTCGGTCACCTGCTTCTGTATCTCCACCAGGGTGTTCTGTGGAATTCGTCTCAAGATTGGCTTGCATTGTCCTCCTGGGATCAACGGTATTCGGTGTTCAACCCAATTGCAAAATCCGTAATCATCTTCCGCGTCTGTGAATAAGTGGGCATACCTGCTCAGTATGTTGCGTATTGCACGGTTCTGACAATCAGGCACGGCTTTGAGGGCACCAACCCGGTCGGTTCTCCCCTTGTTTATCTCGATCGTCTCGTTAGCCACGATCACCACATCGTTTTTCAGGTCAATTGTGACACCGAGCCGTTTCAGGATGTCGGTTCCGATGATGGTTTCGGTCGTCTCCTCCACGATGAGCATGTCATGGCTGATGAGCGTTTCTCCTATCCTGATTCGTAACCGCTGCGTGCCCGTCACTTTCAAAGGATGTCCGCCGACCGTCTGCATCGTGATTGAAGATGGGTTTACTGGAACCCCGTTGAACCTCTTCGTAATTGACACTGCCGCTCCTGTGTCTACTATGGCTCGGACAGACACACCTTCTACAGTTACCTGGAGGACTGGTACTCGCCACCGACTCGGCATGGATAGAGAGAAACAATGGGGCACATTGACGTTGGTGCAGAATCTCGCCACATGACCATTCTGGTTGCATCAGAAACAGCGGCGACCGTTCCGGATTACCCGTACATTGCGTTGTGAAGTGGTGCTTGAAGACTCTATCGACAACAGCTGCTCCACCATTTCGAATAGGCGATTTACTTTCTGTTCCAACTCAGCATGCTGGATGCTTCTCACTGTCACTCGTTCCGACAAATTCTGGGCGACCGTCACCAGATCCAACGCTTTGCTGTCTCCCACCATCGACGCCAATTTCACCTGATCATGGAGTGGACCGGGCAGACTTCGGATAAACTGCTGTTTCAGTAGGCGCTCTCTTGGTTTGCCCTCTAACTCGGGGAGCCCAATCGTTAGATATCTGTCCAGCTGCTGGAAAAACACCATCAAATCCTCCTGTTCATCCCATCTGGCTGCGTGAAACCGTTGCAGTGCTCGTTCTCTCTCTAGATCCTTCCCAAATTCTGCACACAAGGCAGCCCTCATCTCAGCGAACGAACAACCGGGTTTGGCCTTTCGAGTGAGCAGATACACCGCCTTGGCTCGTCCACTCAACCGTGTGCCCAAAGCAATTAGCAAATTTGCATCCCCCCTCACACCCGTGCAAGCCGCAATTCCGTCGAACTCATCGAGCCATGCCTCCACGTCACCGGCCGCAATTGCTCCAACCGGGTCAACTCCATCGCGATTGGTCACGGCACCAGTGTAGCGAGAACGACAAGACAGGGGGCGGGGGTAGACGTTTATTGCACACCGAAAATGGGCACATGAGGGTCTCACGCGCGCCATCGAATATCGACTAGATTTCCGTCCCACAACGCAACACAGGTACGGATGTTAGAGGCGAGCCAGTCCTTTCGCCTCGGGAGTTCTGACTTGGAAGTCCCGCCTTCCTGTTTTCGCCTCGATCTCCGCTTCACTGCACCCGATTTGGATCGGCCAGGAGTCGTTCGAGAGCTCTCGACTTGCTTGTTCTGGGCTGTGTCAATCGGCTCGGCCTCGGTCCTGTGGGCTGCGCTAGCGGCGTATTTGTCTGATTTCTTGCGCTGTCCACATATCCCCGCTCCGTAGTTCCGGGCCCAGGCTCGTCGCTAGCCGTCCTTCTCGATCCGCTCTCAGCTAGCTCCGAAGAGCTCCCCAGAGCCATTCTTGGAAGCGGCCCCTCTACAATATGTATTTGGTATGTTCTTCCCCAATTAGTTATTAATTCCTTCAAGTATAGTCGGTGCAGAACTTATTCTGAACGGCATACGTGTGTAGTGAAATAACCCAATATGACTGCTTATTTTTATGTAAGCCTGCGATCCTTCGTCGGCTTCAATCTGTTGGCCCGCACGGTTCAGGTCAATTTTTATAAAAGCCTCACCACCAGAGAGTGATGCGTAGATATATTCTATCCTTGGCAGCAGTTCTCAGTCAAGCCTTAGTACCTGATTGACCGTACCTTTGTACTCTCCACAGATTCTTACAATTCAGACACTCTTTAACACGGACACAATGGGTGGTGCCCAATCTGAGTATGGAATGGGTTCAATCGTGCCTTGTTCTTGGAGCCGGAGTAGTTCCTCTTCGACTTTGTCGCGAAGTGCACACGGCTGTGCGCGCCTTCCAAAATGTTGGAGTTGGTTTTGTTTTATTCCCAGATGTGCACTGCAATTATTTTAACTCCTAGGCGTGTTCTGGTCGAAGAAGACTGCGTCTTTTGACAAAAGATCGGATATTTACAGCTGACCTTCAACTGAATGGACATTCGACGTATTGCTAGGCAGACGTTTGATGCCGTCGCGACCAAGTATATTTGGACTTGGCTCACCAGGTAACTTCACATATGGCTAGTAGAGCTGCGATATGATATACGTGCAACAAAAGTTCCGATGATGTTTATCGTCTGCCCGGTATATGATCACAGTTTTACTTTGCGTGGGTCCAGTTTCGACAGCTTCGATAAGGCATCCGATGTTATCAAAATGACTGCTGAACCAGTAAAAATTTCAAAAACCACAGGCCGATTATTTACTTGGAAAGATACAACAAAAGGCTATTTCGCCAACACACTAGGGGTAAAAACCGTAATGGTGTTAATCCAGTTCTGATTTACTCCTCAGCCATCTGATTCGCCGCTTCTCGTTTAACTCCCTAAAAAGCATACTTTTTGAGTATGACCCTTCTTTCCACAAAAGTTACACAATGAATAAAGCTGCTGACAGTTACTCGGAGTCGAGTGCTGCTCACCGCAACCATAACAACGGAAATGTGTGTGCTGAGTGACGTGAGGCACTGTACCGTCACGATCGATCAGGGAAACTTTGTTAACATCCTCTGATAAAGCCTGGTCCCCAGAGGAAAATGCCGCGAGTCCTCCAACGAGGATGGCATGTTGGCGAACTATCTCGCAAGC